GCGACCTTGCCGACGCCGCGGGCCCGCCCGTGAACCCCCGACGTTGCGGGGTCCAGTCGTCCCCCGAGTGCCCCTGAGTCCCGCTCCCCAGGCCACCGGGCCGTGCAGGTCGCCGCTTGATGTCCCTGGCTCTCTCCCCGCGAAGCCGCCGGCCTCACGCAGCGCTGGTGCGCAGCCCGGTGGGGTCCAGTGCGGGGCTTCGGGCGTCCCCTTCGGCGGCCTCCTGCCGTCGTGTCCGAGTGGCCGGTCCCGCATGGGTCACCGGCCCTGCCGCCCCTGCTGTCCGGCTGCGGGCTCTCGGCTCTCTGGCCTTGGGCGTTTGCCGGAGGAGAGGCCAGGGCCCAGTGCCCCCGGCCGCAGGGAGGGCTGCTTTCGGGGAGCAGGCCGCTGCCGCCTCCTTTACTTGGCAGTCGAGCTCTGGCTGAACCCCTGGCTGAACCCCACATGCAGTGGGTGTCACCGGCCGCAGGCCTGTGCAGTGTCTCTGTGGGAGGCCGGAGTGTCCTTACCTTAGGTGTCCCTGGCGGGAGTCAGAATGCACCGTCTCCTTCCAGAAGCTCTCAGGCGTCTGCACTTTAGGTAGTTTGTTCACCTAGAGCCGGCGGCAGGGGGTGGCCCCTAAGTGTCCTGAGTCAGGTTTCCCACCCCGCTCCCTGCTGCCACCGTGGTGCAGAGTTTTGCTCATCTGTGCGCTCCCAGTGTGTGCTGGGTTCGGCTTTGGGCCGTTTGGCTGCTTCGTCTCCTTCAACTTAACACATCACTTTGCAGTGTGTTGTCATGGTATTCTCTGACTTTTCCAGTTGGTGGGTGTTGGGATGCCATTATTTTTCCATGTAACTTCTCAAGGGTTATCCAAGTTGCTCAGAACTTCTGGTGGTTCTTATTGAAATTGTTTTGAAATTGTGAAATTTATTTTAGGGAGAATTGATAGTTGTACAGTGTTCATGAATTCTTCTCACTCATGAATAGGAATAACTCTCCTGATGTTTATGTTTTAGTATGTTACTGTGTTAAAGTTCTTATTTTTGTTATTAGATTTGTTCGTTGTAAATGATTTTGTTTTTTAAGAAAGTTCCATAGCCTGGTTATTCCTCATAGAAAGGGACATACAGGTTTTTATGTTGAAACTCACTGGCGTCTCATAGATGTGATTGAAAACATTTTGGAGTAAAATGTCAATTATAACCTTATTCCCAGGACAATTAAAAATCCAGTTAAGGGCCCTGCCTGGTGGCGCAGTGGGTTACAGCGCAGCACTAAGAAGCTAAATCCCCTTCAGCACCAGTTCAACCCCCGCCTGCCCCGGAGGTGACCCCAGGGCGCGGCAGACCTCTCCTGTCTCCCCGCTGCTCCCCTCAGCAGTGTGCTTTGTCCATCTGCCTGTTCTGCTCCCCACGCTGTCTCTGGTGAAGCCTCTCACTGCCCCTGAGCCTCTGGCCTATGCTCCAGTTCTGGATGCATCAATAAATAAATCTTTTTTAAAAATCCAGTTTAAAATGGACAAAAATTCAGAACAGAAAGTTCAGGAAAGATAATCTGGATGTAGAGAACACGACAAGATCCTCAATATCATGACTCACTAGGGAAACACAAACCGGGTCACACGAGGGAAACTACATACCTTTTAGAATGGCTAAAATTACACCCTGCTGAAGGCTGAGTATGTTTCCACCCATAGCAAATGAGCAAGATACTATTAGACTGATTTAAGCAACTGTTAAAGTCTCTTTTTATTACATTTTCTTTAGAGAACTGGTACGAGGCTTTAAAAAGGATGTTTATCTTTGCACAGAACTGGAGTTCAGGGCAGAGGTTTGGGGGGCGGTGTGGTAAGAGGACTCCAGTGTCGGCGGGGAGCGCAGCAGGCGGGTCCACTGAGCCCCACTGCTGCGGGGAGCAGCCGGGAGACAGGAGGGGTCTGCTGCGCCCTGGGGCCCCTCCCTGGCCGGGGTTGAACCCCTGCACAGTAGATTCGGAGTGCTGAGACTTAAGCCCTGTGCGCCCGGGGAGGCCCCCTCCCCTTTATTTCTAATAGGATTTTGCTGACCGTTGGTTCCAGTTTGCAGCTTTTCCTCAGCGCTTCGCGTTTTGCTTTTCTCGTGGTCTCCTTGTGTGACCGGTGTCAAGGCGATGCTGACTCATAAAGTCAGTTTGGAGAGTTCCCTCCTCTTCCGTAGGCTTATATCCTTCACATGTTGGGCCGAAATCCCCAGAGAAGCCATCTGGCCCTGGGCTGCTGCTCGGCAGGTTTTGAGTGTTGGTTCAGCCTCCTACCTGGTCATAGCTGTGTAGGTTTTGCTTCTTCCTCGTTCAGTCCCGTCGGCTCTGTGGCTCTGTGGGTGTGCAGCTCCGACAGCCTCTTGGGGCCTTTGCATTTTCTCTGCGCTCCTTCCCCATCAGAGGAGCGGCCTCTCCCGCAGGGCAGGTGGCTAAGGGGTGTCCGCGGGCAGCGCAGCTGCTGGGTTTCCTTGCGACCCGCCCGTTGCGCTTTCTGTTTGCCCGTCTGTCGTGACCCTGCACTCTTTGCTGCCTTTGCTCTTTTTTGCTTAGTGACTCTAGCAAAGGCTTTTCTACTTGATCTTCTTTTAAGCCAATTCCTAGTTCCACTGACATTTTCCAGTGTCTCTTTAGTCTCCGTCACTCACCTCCTGCCTTCTAGTAACTCTGGGTTATTTTTCTTGTCTAGTTCTTGAGCTGTGAAATCAGCTTGCTTCCTTAGAGTCGTGGTCATGTCGCTTACGGCTGTAAACCGCCCTCCAGAGCTGTCCCCTGCAGCTGTCCCCTGCGGTAGTCCCATGCCGTTTGTCTCGCGGCGTCTAACGGCTTCCCCCGCGGGCCCCTGATGTGCCGGGCCTGCTGCGTGCTCTCTGCGCATTTGCGTACCGCTGTGTAGGGGACACACGGAACTTCTCTCCGAGGTCCCCGCCGCCTGCCCCGCCCTGCGCCTTCAGGTCGTTGGGATGGTGGCAAGCTGGGCGCTCGGGCTTCTTCAGCCCACGCTCTGCTGGGACGGGTCCCCTTTAACCCGGCAGGGGCGGCTGCTCTCCAGCAGTTACTTCTGGCTTCCACGGTGGAGATCACAGGTTTTCCCGCGCTGAGTATCTGAATCTGTCCATCCTGCCCTGCTTGCCGCCACGCTCTTGAACGGGACCAGGCTAGACTGCTGTTTTCTGCCCTGGCGGAAAACATCAGGCAAGCGCGACCTGGGAAGTGCCTCGGCGTGGCCTGTCTGCACTTTTAACGGTTTCTGGGCGAGTCTGCGAGTCAGGCTGACGGGACGAGTCACTGCTGCGTGCTGCACCTCCCCAGCTACCCCCGGACCGGGACACAGCCCGTCAGTGTTGAAGCAGAGCAGACGGGCCGCCGCGCACCGAGGCCCGGGACTGGCGTGGAGCCGCGGGCTCTCAGTGCCAGGCTCACCTTGCTCCCCTCTCTCCCTCACCCGAAGCCAAACCTGCTTTACTGATTCTGTATTTTGGGTGCTACTGGCCTGTCTTTGGCAAGCATTTGCTGTGCTTTTTAAACGACACAGAAGTATTAATTATAAAACTAAAGTCTCTCTCAGATAAATCGGTGGTTACGGTTCTGCGCGACCTCCTGCTCTGCCTGCCCAGTGTGCTCGGAGTGAATGTCTCCCCTCTGCTTGCACACACGCGCAGATGCACAAACGCGTCTGTCACAGCCGACAGATGAGAAGAGACAGCTCTCATCGTACAGTAGGCTAGCTTCTTCTGCTCATTCGGCAGCATCTTGATATTATTTGATTGTAAATACCAGAAATGCTTATGTAACTGTTTCGTTGACAGAATCACATTGCACCTCTTTCTCCCTCCCCCTCGGCCCCAGTTCAGCTCCCACCTGCGTGTTTTGCTTTTCGCCATTCAGAGCGGTGCTGCGACGCGGCCCCCGAGCGCAGGGCAGGTGTCTCGATGGCACGCTTTTCTCCTGGCGCCAGTCTTTGGACTTGCGGGAGGTGTGTGACTCGCCGCCTCCGTGCGCGCTAGGGTATGTCCTCGCTGGCATTTCCACGCCCACTGGCACGCTGAGAGAGTAGATTGACTGATACCTTTGCTCACGCTCCGGTGCACAGTCCCGTGGTCCTCGGCTTGCTCTTCTGTGTGTGAGATTTCCTGGGGACTCCGCTACAAAGCCCGCCACGGTTTCAGCAAGTTTACATCCGGTTGCACGTTTAGAAGAGATGGCATTGTTTCTCTTCCTTTGAGAGCTGGCCTGCAAATGGCATTTGGATGCCAGATGTGCTTTAATTAAGATGGCAGACGTGGGGTGCCTTTGCTTTTAGTTGTACCGTTGTTAGTTTTTGGACAGCGTTTGATTTCTCCCCTGGGCAGATGGCTCTCAGCGCAGCCCTCTAGTGTCCTGGCTTCGTTGGGAGGGAACGTGCAGGTTGCCGCCGCCTCTCGCCACACGCTGCGCTCCCTGGTGTCTGCCCCTAAACGTGCTGTCACCAGCTTCGATTTCACTCACGCACTTAGTTCATTTTCTTGTTTCCAGAGTTGGAATAAATATAGCAGCAACCTCTGGCAAGGAAGCTCCAGGTCTGTAATCTTTAACTACTTTGTGACCTTTTGGCAGGACTTCTGACATTTAAGTAATCTATAAAAAGAGAAGGCTTAAGTAGAGGATCTTCAGGCTTTCGTCCAGAAACTTCTTTGACCAGATTCAAATGAGCATGTTCATAGACTGGTATTAAAAGTGTCCAGTGAGGAACTTGAAGAAACAGCATTTGTCTTTGGTATAAGCAATGATGCTATTTATGTGTATTAGTATTTTAAAACAGTACACATAGAGAACAGATTGTAAGCTCCATAAACTGTTTTCTTTTATAGGCATTTCTGTTCTGCAGTTTGAAAATTAAGTGAAAATGCCAATAAGACCAGATCTCCAGGTATGTAGTCCTAAATCAAAATGTTCTATCTTAATTCCTAAAATCTTTTTTATAGGTATCAAGTGCCTTGTTTCAGGAAAGACGGGTTTTACTTATTTGTGAAATGACAGTAATTTCCGTTCTTTACAAAAGAGATCAAAAGTTATGTTAATGTTTATAATTAAGGGTGCTAGTTATTTGTATATACCTTTTATTGAAATGGATTTCACACTAACATATAGTTTGTACCTAGATAACTTTATATTACATCTTAAAATCATATTTGCATTTAAGTAACTAGTAAGTTTTAATATACCTGGTTACCATATATATAATTCACTGCCAAGTTTGGACATCAGATTATAGTGTGAAAATCCTTTATGTTGTAGGATGGCAGATTTTGTAAAGGTTACAAATATATAATCCTAAATAAGTACAGAGGTAAGCAAACACCCACAGCAAGTCCTCCATACGGGGGAGAAACCCAGCCTATGTTGAAAGAACTGAGGGGACACCTACTTTCCTTTGGTGTCGTTGTTTTGCTCAAAGTCAGTTTCTAAGAACCTTATCTGTTAGCCTTAAATGAGGAATTACTTTGTGTGTGTATGTCTTTGTATGTTTGCATGTATCTGTGTTATGATTAAATTAGTTGGCATAGTTTCAAAAAATTGATTTTACCCATCTTTTAATTTTTGGAAACTAAATCTCATTAAGAAGTTGACTGAGGGCCCTCCCTGGTGGCAGCGGGTTAAAGACAGCACTGGGAGGCAAAAGTCACTTTCTCATGAGTTCAGTACCCGCCTGCCCAGGAGGTGATCTACATGGCGCGGCAGACTTCTGACCCGCCCGACTTCTGACCCGCCCGCTGCTCCCCTCAGCAGTGGACTTTGTTAGTCGGCCTGTCCTGCTCCCCACTCTCTCTGTGGTGAATCTTCCCACTGCCGCTACACCTCTGGCCTGTACCTCAGCTCTGTATGCACAAATAAATAAATCTTTAAAAAAAGTAGTTGATTGAGGGCCCTCCCTGATGGCACAGCTGGTTAAAGACAGCACGGGGAAGCTATTCCCAGCCAGGGAGTGACCCACGTGGCTGGCAGACCTCTCCTGACCCACACTGCTCCCCTCAGCAGTGTATTTCAGTACATCTGCTTGTTCTGCTCCCCACTCTGTCTCTGAGGAATCCTCTCACCCCCTGCACCTCTGGCCTGTACCCCAGTTCTTGTGCATAATAAACCTTAAAAAAAGTTGATTGATACATAGGCTTTTATCCATGATATTATATCAGTTACTATAGAAATTTGATTTTCTTCCATTAACAGGTTTTGTTGAGTTTAACGTGACTTTCCAATAAAAGATAGTGAAACAGGAAGTTATTAAACTTTTAAAAAATCTTGTTACTGAAACTTTGTTACTCCATATTTTATAATAGACATGTTTTCTTAAATATAACTGAATCAGTACTTTGTGAACTCCTTTGAGAATTTTTATGTGAATTCTCTGTTAGATTGCTTAAGTTAACTAATTGATATTGATTGAGTATTTATGCTATTAACTTTCTCTAGCAGTTCGAAAAATGCATTGATGATGCCTTAAGAAAAAATGATTTCAAACCTTTGAAGGCTCTTCTACAAATTGATATTTATGAAGATGTGAAAGTTAAGTGCAGCAAACAATTTTTCCACAAGTTGGATGATCTTGTATGCAGGGTAATTATTCATTTTTGCTTAGTGATATTAAATTATCAGATAGAAAGAAATATGATATTAGAAGAAATGAATGACTTAATGCCAATTACTTAATTGGCAAACTTATTACTTACAAAAATAAATCTTATTTCACCATTGCATTTTATTTGAGTAGTCCCAAATAACATACTGTACTTTGGTTTTCTAAATAAAACACACAGAATGTTGTGTTTTGTTGTTTCTGTAATATAGTGTTAACTGTTACCTAAATTGAGGAAAATTGGTTTACCTCCTTGATTTTTAAACGTGATCTATTTCAAAAACTTACCAGCATGTAAGTTATATGCTTCATGTTCTAGAGACAACACTGGGTGCTGGCAAAAAAGAAATAACAGAACAAGCAAAGATCACCCCAAAACCTTGGGCTTGATTTCTCATATATGAAGCTTTTTTCTACATGAGAGCTGATTTTTGATATTCTACTCTGAGATTTATTGTAAATCAAAACAGTTGTCTTAAACTTCTTACATCCACTAGTTAAATACATGGAACCTTCTAGAATGGAGCATACCTGACTCACTATCACAGTTTAAATTTTCTCGGCTTTTTACAGATTTACATTTTGTCCTGAATGTGTGTCTCTCCTTGGTAGATAGATAGCTTTAATCATTGTCTTTTAAAACCCACACCTTTCGTCCTTTACAGTATGGAGAATGCGAGGATGGATGACTTTTGGGATTTGGGAGGATAATAAAATTCCTATGACAATGTTTGTGCGATACTCTTGTGCTAACAAATACTTAAGTATATACTTTTGTTTCAGGAGCTTAGTAAAAAGGATGTCCAAACTGTTTCTACCATTTTGATTTCTTTTGGGAGATGTGGCAGAAATCTCAGCATTTTGGGACAAGCTGGACTTCTAACCATGATAGAACAAGGGCTGGTCCACAAGATAAGTATAGCATATATAACCTATTTAAGTAATGAAAATATGGTAAAAAAGGATGGCTTCTAATAAAGTTAGAAAGACCCAAACTGTTAAAAAACATAACCAAAAACAAATGTGGATGTTTTTTAGCCAAGGTATTTTTATAACCTGTGGTTTATTGCAAAGATCACAAGGAAACTGTCTACAGGCCCCTTACGTGAATTTCTTTCATTTTCACTTTAGCTCAACTTAGCCACTTACTTTATCTCTTCATGTTGTTTGTTGTCTGACTCCATGCTAGAAGCTAGGATGTTGATTTTGAGTGTCATGTTCACTCAAAATCAACATCCTAGACCATTGCCTGAAGCCTGGGGATGCATTTAAATGTCTGAATTACTTAAGGTAAAATAATGGCAAACTTTCGAAGAGTAACGATGCAAAAATAATACGTATGACAGTTTATTCTGATTTGTTCTAGAAGCATACCTGCAGTAGGACCTTAAAGGCGGATTAAAGATCTTCCTGTAATTAGGATTAACTTCAGTCCCATATAAAAATAGGAAATTATAATGAGTTACTAAAAAAATAAAAACAAGATGTTTAAGAGCATAAACTTAACTTTTATATAGTGCTGGAATTTTTACGATTTTTTTTCCTCCCAGGTTTACTTGTATGCAAAGATGAATACATTCTTAAAGTTATTAAAGTGAATCCAAGTTAACTCATTTGTACATTTCTTTTTTACATGGTTACCTGGTTTGAAAAATCCAAGGAGATTATTCTGAGTCAAGGAAATTCAAAAGATGAAACTGTTATAAACATGGTGGAAGACTTATTTGATCTTTTGATGGTAAAAATCACATGGACTAACTGATGTTATAAAGCGTGGGTTTATTTTCAAAAAGGGCATTTTTCTCTCTATGCCCCAAGCCCGTATGTCATTAACAAATTGATTAGTGATTTGGTTGGGTTAGTCTAGTCAAGTTGTATGAAGTATTTATCCCAATTAATATGATTAAATTGTTGTTCGTAAATAAAAGTTAGGTAATTATTTGGTGAGTTCAAATGTCATGTTATTTTAAAATAATATTTGTAATCGTGTATTTTTATTTTTTATAAAAAATTTGCTTTCTTTTCAGGTCATACATGACGTCAGTGATGAAGGTATAGTAAACATTTAACTTCTAATGGAGCAATAATTTGCTAGAGTTGTAATATAGTTTTATAGTTTTTGTAGCATTGTCCTAATATTATCCAGGGATTGACAGACATTATCTGTAAAAGGCTAAATAGTAGATATTTTATTAATATTTTAGGTTTATAGAGCAAAGAAAGAAATCAAAGGTATAGTGTGGGCACTTATATAATAGAAATTTCCACAAATGTTTTGTTGATGCAATTCAAAATACATGTTTTCGCATAGTTCAGGAGGAGGAGAGTGGCATCTGGGGGCTGGCATTTCACTTACGGTTCCGAGTTAGTATTCACGGTTAGCAGAACCGGTGGCACATGTTGTTCACACCTCTCTGAAGGAGCTCGTCTGTAGGTTGCGCTGGAGACGCCCTTACTCAGAGGATGCCAGATGCCAGTGTCAGTGCCTTGCTTGCTCTCTAATTGGCAGATCCATCACACGGAGAGCCTCCGTAGGATGCTGAGTTGCGAATGTTTGCCTTTGGACTGCGATGGCATGCAGATTAGTTGCTTGTGGTTGAAGCTGAGGGAGCTGGGAAAGCCGCACCGCGTGTTAAGGGTCCGAGACGTGAATCTCTTTTGCTTACATCGAGCATCACAGCTCTGCAGGACCTGTAGCTGGAACTCGGAAACTCATATTTCCTGCAAATATGTGTGGGCATAAAAATGTCACGCTTCATTTTAGCTTTTGACAGCCTGGGAAGTGTATGAAGCAAGTGGACATTACACATGACTCAGATAACGTTAGTTTCATAGAAGCAGCTTTGCACAAGTCCAGGTTTCTCGTATAAGCACCATTTTGCCTTCTGAATTTGCTTCAGTTCATTGAGAAATATGATCAGTTCACAGCCCACATTAATTACCCAACTCATTCATGTTTGATAATGATGGTGGAAGGCAGTTCTTGTTCGGAGAAATTTCGGTCTTAGCCCTTAGCTAACAATAAAGCGGCTAGCCAAGTGACAGGGCTCCTCTGGCAGGACATCGTAGCTAGCTTCCGCTTCCCTCAAAGATTCACGTAACTGGTGACTGCTGTTTATGGCAGTGAAGGATACTCACCTAGACACTGCTCTTTCCAAAGCAATGGTGGGTTCAAGTATTTCTGTAGAGTATGTGCCATATAAAACCGGCAGTGGCTCACATTTGGCTTCTGGGCAGTTTCCCGACCTCTGATGGAACAGCCTTGGCAGTAGTAAATGGAGAGCGGGTTACAGGCCATCCTCGCCTCTCCTGAGTGAGGGCTTTCTCCCGGGCAGTCAGATTCAAGTTATTTTGTCTGTTACCTAGGGTTGGTAATTGAGGTTTGGTAGACTGTTCCCAAAGAAAGGCATTTCCTGTCTCTGCAGCCTGAGTGTTTTAAAATATCATTTGTTGTTTGTTTAAATAACTATTTAAATAATAGTTAATGATACCTTTTTTTATTGATTTCTTTGCAATTAACAAATTAACCTGGCTCAATACTTGGTTTGGGCGCTTAAGGAGGGCCAAAACCATCCAGAGGACCAGTGGTCATAAAGTGGTCCAGCTCACTGTTCAGCAGTGTCTTTGCGCCCAACTGAGTGGGTTTCGTTGGGTCATCTACTACAAAATTGTTGTTGTTTAATTTTTTTTTAATTTGCGTGATGATACAACATGATTCTTATCATATGTATTATTTATAAAGCTCATATCTTGAGAACAGGGTTAACTTTTTAAAAATAATACAATCATTTATTTTTACATCAGTATGTGCATTTTTCCATCTCAGTTGTCATCCCCCTGGACTTCCCATCACCAAATCACCCTGTGCCATCACCAGAGTCCAGGGCATTTCCCTCCCCCCACTGTTTCCGATCCCATTCCCCACTGCACCCCATAAAATGTCTCTGGTATATAACTGTTCATTATTATTATTTTCTCGCGAACAGGGTTAACTTTTAAAAGTAGCTCAAGTCATTCAGATCCTGAGACTGAGAGGAGTTGCTGCCCCTTCTGGGAAGTGCTCTATGGCTGTAAGGTGGCCAGGTTGCATAGGAATGTATGCATCTTACTCAAAGGCAGGACTGCATCGTACTTTTGAAAGAAAAGGCTGGCCAGCGCCAGACCCCGCTCAGAGCCCTGCAGTGGCATTTGCTGACTCCAGTTAGTGCCAGCTCTGAGGACAGCGCTGAGCCAGCGGGCTTTCTTCCAAAGGAGAAGAGCATCCTTTCCATGCACTCAGATGGGAAATGCTGCCATTTAAAATAGGGCTCTCCCTGGTGGTGCAACGGGTTGAAGCACCACTTTGAAGCTGAGTTCGATCCCCACCAGGGAGTGACCCACATGGCGCAGCAGACCCCTCCTGACCCGCCTGCGGCCCCCCTCAGCAGTGTACCTGATCGATCTGCCTGTTCTGCTCCCCACTCTGTCTCTGGGAAATCCTTTCATCTCTCCGCATTCTGGCCTGTACCCCAGTTCTGTGTGCATAAATAAATAAATCTTTAAATATATATGTATAATAATAATTTAGAATACACACTAGTAATTTAACACTTTTATTCAGGTAAAAGACAAGTAATGGAAAATTTCATACCTCGAATTTGTGCGCTGGTTATTGACTCAAGAGTGAATATTTGTATTCAACAGGAGGTAATTTATTATATTTTCTTTTAAAACTAGAAATGAGAAAGTCAAGAAAAATCTGTAGTAGTTCTTCTAATTGAATAATTATCTAAATGAAGAGCATTTCTATTGCCTTAACAATTCATGCTTTACTAACATAATGAATATCTTATTTTTTTTTTGAAAATTCATAATTATATGGGTTTCTGTATAACATAATAAAAGTGATTACATTCAGGTATTAGGAATTCTTAAGTATTTAAATGATAAAAAGATCCTGTCTGTGTATACAAGTATGTGCATATATAAAAAAACAAATATATCACCAAGGTAACATTTGTGCTTCCTGAGTGTAATAGAGCGCTGCTAAGCATACTGCAAGGGGCAGCAGTGATTGAGTGCAGGAGTCACGCCGTGTTCTTCTTTTGACATTGCGTAGCATTTTTGTCTTTATTGTTTTATACTTACATTCTTCCACCTGCGTAAATGCTGTTTAAGAAAAAATCGGCTTCTGTTGATGTACCTGGGATATTTCTCTAAATGGTTAATATTCCGATGAAGATATGAGTTAATAGATTCCTTTTTTTTTCTTTCTAGACGCTAAAGAAAATGAATGCTATGCTTGACAAAATGCCTCAAGAGGCCAGGAAAATACTCTCCAACCAAGAAATGTTAATACTCATGTAATAACTTATACTATATATTTTTTGTGACTCAAACCACGAATTTAAAGAATATTGTCTAAGGCAACTACTAGTTGCAATAATAAATTGATGCAAGCTTATAACATAACTTAGGAAGATATTTTTCTGCAAAAGTCTGTGATACTAGCCAGTTGTACATGTTAGGTTTCCCCCAAAACTTAGAGGATATCTATTTAGTCAATACTAGTCTGGTATATAATCTGTTCTTTTGATTCACAGGAGTAATATGGGAGAAAGGATTTTGGAAGCTGGAGGTAAGTATATCTTTTCCAAATGTTCATATTTTTTTAAAAATCCAGATTTATAGGGAATATCGTATCTAATCAAAACAAGAACATTGTAATGGAAGGAGGACATGTGGCGGAGTTATAAACTGTATGTATACCTGAGCAAGTCTTCTGTCAACGATTCGCTTCTTTGGGACCAAAAAATAATTTGGGATGAATAAGCAATTGTCAGATGTGATTTGTGTCTGATAGGTAGATTTGTTAACTTAATTTTCCAATAACCACATTGTCCAGATGTAAATTACTTTGCTAAGAAAGTCCTCAAATACACATTATGAAACTAGAGGACGAAATATTCTTGGGATTGATATACTTGTAGCGAATGCATTTATTAAAAGGTCTTAAAGCTCTTTTCCTATGTTTCATATGAGAAGTAGTTACAAATAGAATGAGCTGCTGGCTTAAAATACTTTGGGTTAACCACAAGCCTCATACTCTACAAAAGGAAAACAAAGATTGTGATTTACAGACTTTTGTATGTTATTTTGTTATTTCCAACTCGAATGATAATGAAATGGCTGTCTTTGAGTATTTAAGAACTTCCTTTAAATATCCTTCTCCCTCCTAGTAATAACCTCGTTATTTGGGTTATATTTATAGTGACATCTTTCTCATTCATGCAAAGAAAAAGGCAAAAGATGGTAAATTACACTAATGTTTTTTCTTTTCTTGCTTGTTTGATATTGAGTTTTATAAACTTAACTTTTCATTATTTCAAATAATACATTGACTTTTTTTTTAAAGATTATGACTTACAAGTAGGTATAGTAGAAGCTTTATGTAGAATGACCACAGAAAAACAAAGGCACGAACTGGCATGTCATTGGTTTTCAATGGATTTTATTGCTGATGCATTTAGAGGAATTAAAGACTCTGAATTCGAAACAGTAAGTAATGTAAAAATAACATTAATAACAGATTTCACAAATTACTATGCTTTTTAAAAGTTTTTCTTTTTAAAATTAGGATTGCAGGATATTTCTCAACCTTGTAAATGGCATGCTTGGCGACAAGAGAAGGTAAACTTCATGTCATGTAGCGGCACTCACAGATAGAGCTCAAGGAGGGCCACCCAGTGCTGAAGCATAAATATCTAACTTGATCTCTCCTGTTCAGTGGGAGTATAGATGTGGACAGATGTCCAAAGTACCTCACAGGGCCCCCATGCATGTCGTTTAATAGACGGAAGACTGATAGAATCTGGTGGATGAAATAAGCCTGATCTTACTTGTTTTGTACTTTTTAGAGGAAAATGCATTTTTATTTTTAATATTAAAACTTTGCATTTCTAAAATCGGTTTACTCTATTCCGAATTGTATATACTCATCATATAAGCTTTGTATTTGAGGAATCATAAAAATCTTAGGTATAAATATCACTCGAGCTTCCTCCTTCATGCAAATATAGGAAACATAAATCATCGTTTCTAATCATCCGACTGTCAGAATGTTCTTTCTGAGGTTATTTAACTTAAGGAATGGTATGAAAGGATAGGTAAATTTTTATGACTCTTACTAATCACAGGAGAATAAGGCATGAGCTCATTCTTGCTTGCTAAGGATGGAAGATAGGATGAGAGTTATGTGCGAGGAGTCACTCCACTTGGATTTAAGTCAGAGCCCCTCTGCCTGTTCTAATATTGGACAAGTTCTTTAACCTCATTTGCCTCCGTTTTCTCAGCTGTAAAATAAGAATACTAATCAACCTGTCTCACATGTTTGTTGAGAAGATTCAATGAGGTGATGTTGAGTGCTTATCAGTAGGAGCAGATCAAGAAGACATTCAGTGGGTATTACTCACTTGTGCTTTTCCCATCTAAATTATATAGAAGCATCTATTCATTGATAAGACAGATGAAACTAGGAATGTCTGCTCATAGATGACAGTGCAACACATAAAATGGTGTGTGGAGAATATCACCATAGCACTGTGCTTTACAGAGACAAATTTCCCTTACACTCCTACATCTCAAAAGTAACAGTAAAGGGGAGGTTTGACTTGGTTCCACCACCTGATTCCCAGCAGCATGGCCTCTGCCTAGCCAAGGCCATGCTGCAAGGCTTGTAGTTCTTCTCTAACTGAAACTGCTTTTTATTTCAGGGTCTTTACATTTCCTTGTTTGTCAGCATTTCTTGGTAAATATGAGGTAAGTTTTAAGTTTAGTGTACATTGTTTCATTGGATGAACTTTGCTGTGCAGTATTAAGATGAATTACAAGTTCTTAGCTGACATGATTCGTTGACAGACCCGGCTGGTTGGTGTTTACACTGAAGACCACAAGGCCCGTGCTTTTCCAAGTCTCCGTAGCAACTTCATTATTGATGGGTCGTTTATTTATGTGGTCAAACTAACATTTCAGCCACTATTTGCACTTGAAACATTTGTGATTTCTTAGAGCTAGCTAATTCTACAAAAAAATACTAATGCAGCATTTCTTTTGTTTCTAAGTAAAATTAAGTTTTATACTCATCTCTTTATCTCCCCTGACCTTCTAGCTGCACTTTTGTTCTTTTAAAGAAATTGAGCTAGGTATATAACCTCTTATTTTTCTGTTGTTATTTTTAAAAAAATGTTTATTTTATTAGCTGCAAATACCATCAGATGATAAACTGGAGGATTTTTGGATAGATTTTAACCTGGGGAGCCAGACTCTTTCATTCTACATTGCTGGAGATAATGATGTAAGCATTATTCCCTCTGTATTATTCTTTGTGTATGCATATTTAAGAACGCTTTACTTCATTTTAATAATATGGATTTCTTCATTTTCTAGCAGTTTTCATAGTTCAATATTAGCTCTAATAGTTTTGATTAGCATGGCAACCTGTCACGTTTATGAAAAATTATGGCTGATGTAAATTGCAACGGAAAAATTAGATGCAGAATTTTAACTCTAGTTTTTAACAGGTTTTCCAGAAATAAGCTATGTCTCAATGACATAAAATTTAACATTCACATGAACAGTGTAAACCTGTACCTCTGAGTCATAAAAGCCTTACAAACGAGTATTACCTTTAATGAATAAAAAAGTAAATTAAAAACAGTGGAAGTGAATTGAACACAGAAAGGATAGCAGTTGCTGAAATGCAGAGGTGCTCGGTTAAAAATAAGATGAACATGTAATGACAGGTGGTGTTATGTGCAGAATCTTCTGTTGAAAATAGGGTCTGATTCTTCCTGTAGTAGGAAGGTGTATTTTCATTCTCTTCTTTCTTTCTAGAAGGTACATTTAAGTGTCACAGCCAGGCAGTATATTTCCTACAGGCCTCCTCTAACCCGAGGAAAACTCTTGAGCCATTGTTTCCAGCGGGCCCGCTGCCTGTGGTGCCGGCCGCTTCCAGTCCCACTGCAGGGCTTCGGCGAGTCGGCCTGGCTGTCATTGTTCTGTCTCTTTTCTGCAGCTCCAGGTTAATGCAGGGAGGAACACGAGCTGGCTGTCTCTCGGGATTTCCCGGACTTTGATTTCTTTATTTTAGAGTTCCTTCTTAGAATGTTTGATTAAAACTGAGTTCCAAATCTCAGCAGTATCTCGGGCACTGACTGCTTTTGTGACTTTACATATTCCGGCAAAGTTCCTAACAGAACTTGTAATTGGCTTTTCTTCAGAAACTAGACTTTTATTTTGGGAGTATAGGCTGGGATTGGTGTAGTTCCTGCCTTGACTCGGCTAAGTCCAGTGAGTATCTCAGAGAAGGAAAGAAGGACTTGTAGCACGTGTGCCATAGGGACAGTGTTTACGATGTTGAGTGTTATGTCCCAGAGGCTGCGCTAGAGCCGGGAGAGTCTTCTTCCCAAAAATATGTTAATTCTTTCTCTCGATTTTTATAGCCATTTAGTATTGCCTCCCTGTATTTTCTTTTACTCTAGAAGCCGTTCTTCATAAAGTAGCTGCGAAAACCTCCCTCTGTTTCTTTCGCATGACGCAGAAGTATCTTGTGACCCCTCCCCTGCCTGTCCCTCTGAGCCCTCAGACCGCCATCTGTGGTCATTCTGTTCCGCATTCTTTTTCCTGTTCCTCTAACGCAGGTCATGCCCTTCTCAAGCCTTTCTGATTACTGGCTCTTCTGCCTAGAGACTTCTTCCAGATCTCTGTATTTTATTTCTTTCCCATCTAGATTTCAGTACAGATTGTACCTCCTTAGATAAGGACCTACTCGGGTCATGCCATCTACAGTCACTTCCCTCCTGGCTCATGAATTTCCTTTGTAGTACTTATTGCCATTTAAAATTACTGGCTGACCGCTGCTCCCTCCATCATACTGAAGATTTATAAAATCAGGGGCCTGCCTTACTCATTTGTAGCTATTAAAAGGCTCATGTTTTGGGAGAATGAATAATGGAATGGTCAGAGAATTGAGAGATACATAGTATGGTTAGTGTGTGGAGTGCAAACGAGATTAGAAACAGATAAGGCACTGGGGAGTCAAAGAAGGATTATAAGTAGGAGGTGACATCAGTTCAACGCATGACTCTTTGAGAACTCAGTCTGTACTGGCCATACGCCGGAACCAGGGGCGCATTCATGTAAGAACTGGGGAAGGGGGATCACAGTGGGACAAGGCCAGAGACGGGTTTCTCCAGCAGGCTAGGTGAGAGGTCATGGCGGTGTGACTCGGGGAGGGACAACGAGTCTCCTGGCAATGGGAGGGTCTCAGAGAAACTTGAGAGGAGGTAGCTTTGGGGAGACTCGGGGTAGGTAGGCGAGGGCTGCCCTGAAGGGCACTGGAAGCGTTGGCCAGGAGAGGACACACAGAAAAGGAAGTGAGGGAAGGGTGCGCTCATGAAAGGACGTCATCGACATTGTCAAAACGCATGCTGACCAAAACAGAAGCTGGCAGCCCGTGAACAGTAGTCCCTGAAGTAAGGAGGGCTCCGTGCGAAGCTAAGTGTGGCTTAGAGCAGATGGGAGCTAGCTCCAGGGAGGCCTGGCCCAGGAGCGCTGGGGCTGGGTGTTCGGTTTTAGAGATAAGAGCTTTGGATATGGGTGGGGTGACAGAGGCATTGAGGAAGCGCGGTGGAGAGAGGCAGGGTGGAGACCGGAGATGAGGCCAGTGCGTAACCGAGAGTACTGGAGCTGGGCAGGGGCTGCTCTGGGCTTCGTTATGCCAGGACTTCTATTTTTCAAGAAACTCAAATTGTCACAGTATGATTTCATGTAAGAGGAGGCGAGAACCAGGTGCCTCTGCTGTGAGGAAGATTCACTTTGAGCTAGGGGGAGGTGGCAGCCAGTCGGCCTGGCCTGTGCGGGCAGCCCTGCGGCTGGAGGGCGGGGGCCCTGTTGAGGGCGGGGACTGGACCAGCCCTTTGCTCTCTTTGCTCTCCCGACCCCAGTGTTGCGACCCCAGTGTTGCGCTGTGGCAGCACAGGCTGTACCCGGAGGGCTGTGGTGGGAGTGACTGGGCGCCGCCCCAGGAAGGCGAAGGCGGAGGGCTGGTAGACAGACATTGAGGGTGTGGGGGCATCTCTGCGATGAAGGCGTCTTCAGAGAGCTCGGTGCTGCTCAGGTATGCAGACTTTCATGAAAAGACACGGAAGGGGAAACATTGCAGCTGTTCCTCGTGGGCATTCAGGGGTTAATCTAAAGACCACCGGTGAGGGAGAAGTAAGGGGGGAGCATGACTTCACGGGACCACTCTGCGGAAGAAATGGCGGTATCGGTAACATGTTTGGAAAGTGGCTTCCTCTAGTAAATAGTAAGTTTTTCTTCCTTTGGTCAAAAATAGGCCCTAAAGTCAGTCAGTGCTGCCGTGTCTGTGAGGTGTGAGCAGTGAGTGTGGCGTGCACGATGCTTGTCAGCTGTGCTGTCAGGAAACACCGATTCTTGGGGAAATGCAGCCGTTACTCCCACAACTTAGTGACACGGTGTTTGATAAAGCTTTAAACCAGGAACAGATGGTTATTGATGGCCAAAACCTGTTTTTAAATTTAAGGACCATCAGTGGGAAGCGGTCACGGTGCCTGAGGAGAAAGTGCAAGCATACAGCATTGAAGGTGTGAGGCCTGTGCTCTGTTACTCCCCTCAGTCCTGCTGTGTGAAGTCGGAGCTGCGCCGCTTTCTCTCTGGGATGACGAAATGGATCAGCGAAAGCGGAAAGCGTTTCGCGTGTTCACACCCGTTTGGTAGTTCGGTGCAGCCACATTCCCCAGCCCACCCTTCCGTCCCTGGCCTCCCGCTTTCTCCTCTGCTTGCTCCTTGCCTGTCCAGCCCAGCACCCACAGCAGGCGCTTGCCTGCCAGTACGTCAGGACGCTGCTCTTGCCACTGACGGGCTTGACCGAGGTCAAACCTGGCTTCTCCACTCCCGGCGCCGGGACTGCCTGGCGCTGCTGGGCAGAAGCCCCGGAGGCGCTGCGCCCGTCAAAGATGAGCACGCCTGGGCCCTCCGGGGCATGTAGAGGTGTCTCCTCATAGTTTCACTTGCACTTTCCTAGTGATCAGTCATGCTGAGCTCAGTAGCCACTTACACACCTTCTTGAAGCATCTCTAAGTATTTTATCTTATTTTCCTGGTGAACATAGATGCCAAAATCTTAGCAAACTATATTCGACATCAAAGGAATGCATCAAAGGACCATCACCTTTGACTACTCCAGGGACTCCAGGATGGTTTGAGATCCAAAATCAACACAATCCGCCACCTCACAAAAGAAAAACTAAACATCATATGCGATAGATGCTAAGAATTATTGTTGGATGAGATCAGCATGCTTTTGTGATACAGACCTTTAAGAAATGGGGGTGGGGCCTCCAGCTGGCACAGCGGGTTAAGTCTCGGCTGGTGAAGCTACTGGCAACCACTGCAGCACAAATTCAGTCCCCAGCCAGGGAGGGACCCCCAGGGCGCGGCAGACCTCTCCTGTCTCCCGCTACTCACCTCAGCAGTGGGTTTCAGCGGATCTGCTTG